CCTCACAAAGGAAATGCTACACTTAAGAATATAGTATAAATAAATGTTAAATAATTTCTAAAAATATTTTGAACTCATTCCTTAACTTAGTTGCACATTGAAATTGATTTACGTTTTAATAATCTCAAATTAGGATAAGCTTTTCACCATTTCTGTTACTGATTAGGGGAAAAGACCTTACTGACTTTTTTTTTTTCTTTTGTGGATCACGTTGCTCTGCTGTTTGAATTCTGTCTGTCTAGTCTAGTTACTGCAGTTATCTGAAAGTTAGTTCTCAGAAATATATTTTAAATGCCTCTGTCATTATTCCCACATAACCTCATCAATGCTTTACTTGCCTTAGGAATAATGAATTCTAAAATCAATACTGTTTCTTGTAGGCTTGAATTATGTACAATGTATAAAAATGTAAGGGGAAAAGTGGGTAAGATGGCAGACATTATTAGCAGTGATCATCTGTGTTCAAAACACTTGTGTGTGTCTTGTCAGCACATAGTTGGAATGCTCATGTTTGTGTTCTGGAAGTGGTCCAGGGCATTGCGCAGTAGCCGTGTGTGCCTGAATGAGGAAGAAGGTTAATAACATTTACTGAGGCTGAACTATTTACATACTTTTTTCCCTACCGTGCCCTTCTTATCCTTCACCATAACATGTTACTTGAGAAGAAGTATGAAGTTATTATGTAAATACAAGTACACTATCACTGTGTCCTTTTCTGATCAGTAGATTAAGTTAAGTAGTCCTGTCTGCTGCTGACTTGTCAACTGCATATCTGACTTTTATCTTTCAGGACATTGTTTTTTCCTGTTGGTTACAATTTGGGAAGTTTGTAAATGCTCTGTCTAGATTAACTACCTGTTCATTTTGAAGTAATATGACTGAACCAGTTTTGATTTGTGTCTTTGGGAACCTGCAAAAAACGAAGCCCAGAACTGGCAAGTAGTTTACAAGTTTTTAGTCTGTATTATATAATTGTTTTCCCTTTTTTTTTTTTCTTTCCCCTCTTTTAAATCCTTGTCCTTACTACTGGGGACTTGCAGTAGTACCACAGGTCTGTCCAAAACTAGTGTTTAGTTGAGCTAGGTTCTGGACCTTATTTTTCTTGCACAAACCAAGGGTCCAGCGTGCTCCTCCTTGTGCCCATGACTGTCTGGCCTAACGGAACGTGATCAGAAAGCCAAGTGTAAAACCACAGAGTTGGGCAAAACCAAGTAGAAGCTTGAGTGCTAAAGGCAGGAAACCAAAATTCCTGCAGAGTTGGAACACAGATTAGCTGAAGAGGTGTACAGGTGAGACTGGAACTTTGAGAAAATGTTCTACTGCAGCTCCAGAACTGCTGGCACAGTATGAACTGGTGTTCATGCAACAGCAAAAGCCCACGTACCTCATAGTTCATTCTGTGGAAAGTACATGGGGTTGGCAGAGTCTGAGACATTGTGGGGCTGGGGTTGGGAGAGCACTCCAGAGAAGCAGTGGGAGTGTTCAGACTTCCTGCAGCCTCAAGGAAAGAGCTTTGATAGGTGACCTAAGCTATACTAAGAACACTTGGGTTGAAGGCTGGTACCATTTAGCCTTTGCAAATGCTTTATGGTAGTGTGCCATTAGACTGAGTCTTCTGTGTTTTATCCCATGTCTGGGGTTGTGAGTGAAATGGGATGCAGAGGCAGTAGGGATTTTTAGCCATGGCTGTTATTTCGGTATGTCAGTGGTACATTCTGACAATGAGCTGCTCTGTTTGAGAGGAAGGAAAGGAAGGGTGGTGCTTGACTGGTGAGAGGCCTATCACAGCTAGGGTCAGCTCTAACTTCTGTATTAACTTATGAATGTGCTGAAGACTGCTTTCTTAAAATGCAGACTAATGTTCCAGCAGCTTTGCCCTGAGAAACCTGAATGGAGCTGAAATCAGATTAAAAGTGTTAATCAAGTAAGTTGTAAAAGTAGAGCTGTAACAGGCCGTGGTGAGAAAAAAATTATCCCTTACAACAGTCAGCCTCATCTCCTTTTAGGATTAATAATATCGATAAAATACACAACAAGGGGGAAAAAACCCCTTTGTCAACATGCAGACCATAAAGCTCAAGTGAACATAAAAGTTGTGTATTTATTTCACTGCGCTGTTTTCTTTCTAGAGTTGCCTAGGTTCTAGACTGTAAAAAAGGAGAAAAAGTAAAATTATTCTGTGTCTTCTGGAAGATACAGAACTATTAGTTAAAATCATTGCAAAAGAATGTAAAGAAGAGTTTAATATTTTCCAAAACCTTTTCACTTTTTAATATATGCTTTTGTGGAACATACCTTGAGAGCGCTCCAGTGCCAAAATTCTTCAGCAAAAGAAGAGTGGTTTAACCCTAATATTGGAGAAACCTACCAAAAATAGCCCAGAAGAATATGTGTTCTTCCCTGTTGTCTGCAAGCCACCTGTAGTTCTGTTCTTTGACAAATTCTGTAATAGACTGTGTTTCCCATCTGAAGACAGGTGAGAGAGAGGTAAAGTCAGGCTGTGCAATACAGTCAGGAAACTGTTTCAGGAGGCTGCAAGTGTTACAGTCATCTGTTCTTTATGAACTCTGCATGAAAAGCACAAGAAAATTTGAAAGATGCTGATCCCTTCAGTTATTGCACACTTATCTTATTCTACCAACTTTCAGAAACTTAGAAATTGAATAAATAGTAGGCTTGGGCTACAGTCCTGACTTCTAGGCAGTCTTTGCACAGAGGCAGCAAGAAGGTTTGTACCACAGGTGGAAGTAGAAAACAGGTTCCTGATTGTTACTAAGTGGTTGAGTCTCTCTGCCTAAGAGGTTAAGGTCCTGTTTCCTGGTGTGTTACTCCATCTGGTGGTGACCGAATAAAGAACGTTACCACAATGTAATTTTAAATAGTGTTCTTCTTGAGGCTTTTAATTTTAAGCCAAAGAATTTCAGGCAAATATGAATCGAATTTGTCCTTCTTAGTATATGTAGGAGTGTGTGTTTTGTTTGGTGTGTTTCATGCTTGTGTTTCACCACTGATTGTATTGGGGAGCTCTAATTCCATGGCTAAAAGGCAAGAAATGAACTTCTTTTTCTACCCAGATCCTTCCCTGGGTTCTCACAGGAGTGTCCATGAGCCCATTCCTCTTCAGGCTTTCTGGTGCTGCTCCTTTCCTCTGCTTGTCTCTGACCTTACCTCATGAGGATGCTGAATCCACACAGAAAGATGTTTAGCAGGCTGAAGTCAAATGCCAAATTGATCAGGCAGAACTAGGAATGACAAAAATGTGCTGTTACAAGAGCCTGGGGTTTTCTTACATTAAATTTCCTTAGATAAACTGCATGCAGTTTTGAAAGGCACTTTTCTGATATGGAAGGGGGGTGGAGTCTTTCCCTTCATGAATTTCTGAATAGCCCAAACCACAGTGGCTACAGCGGGTACTGGGAGAAGTTCTTGATACACACTGCTGAAATATTCAAACCCCATATAATTATGTACTTTCTTTCACAGTCTTGATGACTGGAGCGGAGGCAAGAACAGTCAGAGAGGTCATGCTGGACTTAGTCATCCCACCCACATGGCTTCATGAAGCCCAAACAACAATCCCATTGGCATCATGCCATTACCAGAGTGCAGTTTTGGTCAGAACAGAAGTAGCTTGTTGCTACAGCTCAGAGGGACAGCCTGCAGCCAAACAGGGCCCTTAGGTCTATGTACCTGTAGGTTAAATGGCTCATTCTTCACCAACCTGTGTCAGGTAATGAAGGCTGTAGAAAACTGCAGTGAGGAGTGTCCTACAGCAGAATTCGATAGGTCACACAGAATGATCCTAATGACCCACTACGATTAGGGAATTCAGCTTGGGCCTCTGCTAACTTCCCTCATTGCTGCTGCTCCACAGACATATGGACTACAAATGTGACTTTAAGAAAGCCTTTAGTTGAGCAGGAGACCAAGTTCTTCAGGGCTTGGGCCTGTGACATGGCTTTTGGGAAACAACCCTGAGCTTTGTTCAGTCAATTACCTGGGATAGAATTAGTTTTACTTGCCAAAGGTTGTTCTTAACACATCTTTCCTGGGTTTCATCAGTCTTCTGTTTTCCTCCTCTTCTGGCCCCCAGGTTGAGCTCATGCCCTTCTTTCCTTGAGTCCCCCGGCTGAGCTCCACAGCTATTATGCAAGGGAAGAGTCCATTTTAAGCTGAGGCGTGAACACGGCAAGTGTCCTTGAGCAGCCTCAAAAGCATTAAAGGGGCACATTTCCATTCTCTGGGCAATTGCCAACCTAAGGCTGACTGGACTCTTAAAGGCTTCAGTTCCCACTCACTGAAGCCAATATAAACTTTTACCTTCAAGCCAGTGGTCTGGGAATGGGCCTTAGTCCTTAGTTACAGTAAGTACCTTACAAAAACAGGACACATTCTTCAAAATAGTATTTCTGATCAAGCTAATCTAGGTCTAGTGAGCCGAAGGGCAAGCTGGAGCTCAGCTGTGAGATACCTGGGCACATCTGGCTGTAGACATCTCAGTGGCAGAAACTGCACTCCTGAGAATTACTCCAACCACCCCAAAATCCTGTGAATTTATGAGCAAATGTGATAGCCCTTGGGTTCAATAACCATTCCTAGCAGCATTATCAGACACCCCACATCTGTTTCAAAGAGAAACAAGATTTTACTCTGTCTTATTACTGGGAATAATTCTTCTAGAACAGTCAAGGTTCCTGAAGATTCCTCTTCATTAAAACTTCCATACAGGAAAAGTTAAAGACAGGTACTCCGAGATCAAACTCAATAGTGTCCTACTGCCAAGAAAGAGGGAAATACTGTTGTACCATTGATATGAGCTGGGGACAGGAAAATTGGCTGTCCACAAAGTGAAAGAATTTACGTTGCAAGTACCAGCAGAAAACCATCAGCATATTCTCAGTTGCCTGATCACCCTTTACCTCCGAATGAGGTAAAGAAGGAAAAACTGCATTTGTTTTGTTTACAACACCTCAAAATACCACACAAGTATGACACAGTGCTGCCATTTTTTATCTTGTAATTTTTTTGCACTTCATATGCAGTTTCAAAAAATACTTCTATGCATGCACATGGAACAATGATTTGTTGCAGCCAAGTACTTCAATTAAATAAACCAATGTGTAGACAAGTAATTTTCATTGATTTTAATTTTAAATACTGTTCAAGAGTAATATAAAAGTTCCAGGTTTGTCTTTTCAGACTAATTGTTGTTTGGTTCCCCCCCCCCCCCCCAGAAATCTTCAGTGAAGTTACTTGATGCATCTTTCAGGTAATACTGTTCAGAAAGAACTTCAAATGACAGAATTTGCGCTTATGTTTTCCAAAAGAGAGGATTCTGTGTCAGACGTCTCTGGAAGTTCTCATACCTAGAAAAAAACATCAGAATTCACTGCTGACCCACAGTGAAGAAAGAGGCAAAGTGTACAATTTCTGTGCCTTCCTAAAAGAAAAACAATTAAGAAGCCTATAGGCTCTGACACACAAAAATTTAAAAACCCCTTTTAATCCCCACAAACCCAAGATGTAAGGAATCAAAAGGTACTGCCAATGAAACAAAGAAAACAAAACTTTTCCTACACCTCATAGTTCCTAGCCCAGCTCAAACGAGAAAAGGGACTCTAAAGGGTTTAAACCATTTCAGCCTGATCCAGACTGACTACTCTCAGAGACCTTATCCATCTATGCTCATGGAGTGCGTAGTTACTTTATAAACACAAGAGATCTGCATCAAGTTACACTCCCAAAGAAAATATATGGCTTATATTAATTTATTTATGAGATCTGTACTTATGGTAAAACTGTGTTCATATAGCCTAAAATGCTGTAGAGGATAAACAGAGCCAAACTGATAGGAAGGAAATTTTCAGACATCTTAAAGGACTGCCTGCAGTTCACTATTTATCCCTAGACTACACAGGATATTCCCAGACAGTTATTTCTTAAACCAGTCCTCGGAAAACAACTCTCTCAGACAGACTTGTATTTACACTCAAGGATCTTGGTGACAGAACCAGGTCAACTAAGGAACATGATTTCTCCATCTCTCACATATTCTTAAATAATGCAACTATGCTGGAACTGTGTCTAGGAAGAGACTAAATATAACAAGTAAGCACAAATTGACAAGTATCAGTGTGTTCCATCTTCCCACAACTCCAGAGCATTTGCATTATCAGTAACTGAGTGCAAATCCACGTATATCCAGGGCAACATTTCTAGAAGCAAAAAAAATTCGTAGGTTGCATAGCACTTCTCTAATAAAAAAGCTGACAATTAAATATAAAAACAGTGGACAGGACCTCTTATAAAGGCTAGAGATAACCAAGAACAAACACTTTTTAAACATTTTTGCTTCATCTCACTGAAGAGCAGTGTTCAATAGTTTGAATAATAGTATTGAACAGTGTTCAACAGTATTGAACAGTAGTTCAGTACTCAGAAATCAGATGTTTTAATAATGCCTACTAGAGATCATTGCCATTACCATTTCAGAACTACATTTGCCGGAATGAAAGCTTCAGAAGGATTTGGGGTCATCTGTGCCTGAGTAACAGCAAACGAGGAAGCAAAGTTATAGAAGTTATCCAACATCTTCTGAGTGAACTGAAATAAAAAAAAAAAAAAAAAGACATTTTAAGGAAGTTCTTTTTTTCATTTTGAACTTTTGTGAAAATATTTAACATCTACAATTCCTATATGAAATAAAATTAGCATGGTCATCTAAAACACAATGGGAGAGTAGATAAAGTAGATCCAAGGACATTAATTTTGAATTGATCAAAACATTTTAATTCTCAGTCTTGCCCTCAGATACATCCAGCATCCATAAATCATTTTCAGCATCTCCATGTGCCGTCTCCCTGCTCTATTTCATCCAACAGGGTTTCTTTCTTTAAATACTGTTTTCAGAAAAATCTATGAGGGTCCTTGCAAATGACCTGAAGTGGCCACATTATTACTTCATAACTTAACTACTGCTCTAATACAAATTGGAGAATCAGAAATATTTAGGTGCCATATGCCTCTAACAACTCCAGAAAAGCTCAATTAACTGTACTATACAAAAATAGCTGCTGGTCAACTCCTAGTCATGGTAACTTTCTCCAAGAGACATCACCTATTTGGAGCTATAATGTGTAGAAACTGCAGAAGAACATCAGCTACGGTATCAGGATTACTGTTCAATTACCAGTCTACCTCAGCAACCTGGAAGGAAAGTGAGAAAGAAAAAATAGACCTGAAGAAAAGCCTCACCAACTGCTGATATGTTAAAAGATAATGCCAGAGCTGATAGGGAATTTCAGTGTTAGGGAAATCAAGACCCACCATGCAGGTCTAGCTTGCCTTGAACTGCTGTTAGACAGTCAACCAACTGCCAGAGCTGATTGTGGATTTCCAGAGGTTCAAACTAACAGGCTGGGTAAAAAAATGGCACATGATGTAGCCCAAGGGCTGATCCACAGGGAAAGAACTGGAAAAAAGAAAAATCCTTCTGCGGGGGAGGGCGTGATTCTGTAGTTCTGCAGAGCTACATCAGAAGGATTTCTCAAGGGTCAGTGGTACACTTGGATATCTATTTGTGTCTATGCCCAGCTCTGCCTTGACTTTTAGAAATTTTTGACCACCCCTGCAAGTCTATGCACTGGAGTTTCAGCACCTACAAATGACCCTGAGTTAGCTCAGTTGGTTAAGACTTGGTGGTAATAACACCAAGGTTGTGAGTTCAATCCCCTGTATGAGCCATTCACTGAAGAACTGGACTTGATGGTCCTTCTGGACCACAATATTTTCTGATTCTGATCAACAATCAACTGTCTCTTACATGTATTTAGTCACAGCTGCTCCTGTTAGGAAGTATCATAAATAATTTTACAGCAGAGTGACACACAAATAAATCTATTGTCCTGATGACACTGAGGATGCAAATCCCAATCCTTTACAGGAGACAGTTTTTCAGTGTAAGAAAAAGTAATTTGAAAATATCAAAGCTTCCAGAAAAATGATTTGACAGTGATTAGGTTGGTTTCAATCCTACAGCCACCCACAGCAGCTTCTCCTCCCTACTTTAGTCTCAATTCTTAAGGCTTTCCTAGTACAAAGAATTTCTGAAAACTGAATGTTCAAGCTACCTCTGTGAATGAATCTACTGATGACACAGCAGCATTTGCAACAGGAGTCTGCTGAGCCAGGTTCTCCAGCAGTTCCACTGAGATTCCAATCTGGGCCACTGTTGGCGTCTGTGGGAGGTTCATGGCACCAAAGGGATGTTGACTTCCCTTCCCTGAAAGCACCACGGACAGCACAGGTTAGATTTGGCACACATGTAAAGACTGAGAACTTAAATCACCGTGTTCCTCCTGTAAAAGGTACTCCTCAGCTCCTGTCAGAGAAATCTCCCTACCTCAGAAACACAGAGGAATACCGCACAGGCACAAGTACACACACAAGCACAACAGATGGAACAGTGTGACTGATACATTTAAAAACCACAACAGACCATAAGGAAAGTTCTAAAAATTGTAAAAACATAACTTGAAAGCTCCCTGTGAAGTAAATGGATTCAAGAGGAAATATGATCTGAAAGACAGCAGAACCTTTCTCTATAGGAACCAAACCTTTCATTCATATTTTAGCAATTGCAGATAAACAGGAAACACGCATCACTGCTGCACAATTGTTTGATTCACTCATTCAAACCCAGGGTCTTGTGAACCTGTTCGTGCTCTGAAGAAGTAGAGAAAACTACTTCAAGATCTCTCTGACTCAGGGCAGGCTGGGCAGCCCCAGGTCTCATCTGAGCTCCTCAAAATCACCAAGAAAGCAAAGGTCAAAGAAACAGCTGTGGAACAGAAAGACCTTTGACTCTGCAAGTGCCACAAAGAAAACAATGGACCGGGCAGGAAACCACCCCCAAAGTGCCTGCCACTCACACAGGCATCATCCCAGACCCCTGCCCTCCCTCACTTCTGACCTTTCTCAACCCATACTTTCAATCCCAGCTTCAGCCAAGGCCTCTGCAAGCAAGGACAGACACTTAAGAGTCACTTAAATCTGCAAACAAGGACAGACACTTAAAGTCACTTGAATCATGTACTCCTCTGTCAGCACCTGTAAAGGAAAATGCAGAAGAAAGGTCTGTAGGACCACAATGCTATAAGTAAACAGACAGTAATACTCCACCTGAGTTTGTGCAAACACAACAGACAAGTACCCTCTTAACACAGGTGATGTTCCAGTAGCACTCTCTGGTCCCTTACTAGCAGGAGAAAGAAAAGCTAATCAAGAGCTAAACCCCTTCTTTATGTGCAAACAAACAAAACTCATCCCACAAGAAGAAACTCTGCTATAATCACTGCTTCAGAGAGAGCTGGCAAACAGGGACGCAGCTTCGTTACTCTCAACAAAATGCAGATTTCAAGTGATAATAGTATCTCTCAATGATTCCAGCTCTCTCTTATCCCTCTCTGGGATATCCCTCCCTTTCTACAGTCTTGTAGTCTTCTCCATCACAAAACTGTTTATGGCCATGGACACTTAGGCCATGTAGCTTATACTGACCCCACAGACAGAGATGAGCTGTAGACAACAACAGGAATGGCAGAGCTCTCTCAGAGATCAAGCACAGCACTGCCTTAAGGCCCTGCAAATTCATCCAACTACATCACAGAGTTCTTCTGTGAGAGCAGCCCTTGCCTGGAAATGAAAGCTAATCATACAAAAAGCATCTAAAATGCATCTTCCTCCAAAGCTGTCTGAGAGTGACAGTCTTTCAAGCGTGAGAAACATATGGCAAAAGCACCAGTGATATGCTATGCTGTTTCACTAACTACATGACTTTGGAATATAGGAAACCACATCCCCCCAAACCCTTCCTATGGCTGCTCTCTCTTCTGAAGAAAGCCCAGATTTCTGAGGAATGTATATGATCAGAATTCATTTTGCTCTGCAGCTTGAGAGCCCTGCTCTGATACCACACTGCCACGTCCAGGACTGATTCAAAAGAAGGTGTACTACCTTATGAACGAATACATTTTATCACAGGAACCTCAACACTTCATTAAACAGAGATTCAAGTTAAAACTGTAGACTACACTCAAGCCTACAGAAGATGTGTACTGCTTTATCACTTTAAACTGCCTGACAATCTGTCCCTTTAATATGACAAAGATGTGCCGTTGGAAGATGATGTCATTTTTATAATGTACATAGCAACCCCACCCACCATAAATTCAGGAAAATATACACACACCTTCTTCAGGTAGTACCAGCACCCTCTGACTCAAGTCTGTACCAAAAATACTGAAACATTTGCAAAGCTGCTTTCCAATGATGACACCTTCTATTGGATAATTATATACTGCAATTGCGCCTGATTGGGAAACACCAGCTGTCTGAAATCACTGTCGGGCTCTACTCCCTGCAAAACCTGTCTGAGCTACAAAGAACACAACCACTTAGCAGTGGAAGCTGAAAGAAAATGCTGCAGGTATGTCTAGACAAATGCCTGAAAAACACGCTAGGGAAGTTACAGGATCATTTCTCCTCAGGTTGTTTATGCAGAAGCACAAAAACACATGTCAAACCTGCTCAGAGGAATTTCCAGATCAACACCACGTAAAGCAGAAGACAAGTGAGAAATTTCACTGGGAACATACACACAGACTTTCATGAAGCTGACAGGTTGCTTCCAGTACATCTGCTCAGAACTATCTGAAAACACAGAGCAGGCTGCCTTTTCAAGTAGCTTTCTGTTCAAACCCACCTTCACACATTTACCCCTTATGCATGCAGGAACACATCTGTTTCACCAACTGCTATGTTCTACCAGTCTTACCAGATTTCAGACCAGAAATTTTGAAGATGGCACTTGGCTTCTCATTAGTGACAAACCCCAGCAGCTGCCACACTGCCATCCCACTCTGGTCTGGATAACAAAAATAGACAGATCCTCCCATTCCTTCTGGAAATGGTATAGTTCCCAGCATGAAGACCACTACATGGTTGATATTTTCATAGTCCGGTAAATCAAACACAAATTTGTCTTCAGCCACTTGTTGGGGAGCTGCTTGTACCTAAAGAGAACAAAACCTTTATTAGTATTCATGTGTTTTTCATCCTTGGCTGTCACTGTGAACTTCCTTTTACAGAAATACACCTAAAAGTGGCACAAAACAGAAAAGTGAGGAACGTACTAACCTAAAGAGCAAAAGAGCCAGATAAAAGTCAAACACAGCAGAAGAACAACTGCAAAAAATATTACTAGAAAGACACAACAGTCTTGTTCTACCTGCACTGAACACATATCCCACCCGGGACTACAGGATCAGAATACCTTCGCTCCCCACGTGCGTAGGAGGAAAGTAGGGTGCAGAAGAGGTTGCCAAGTCAATAAGCAGTGGCTGTTGACCACCTGGCTGGCACAACCCCAGGATCATGGAAACCTGTTCACATAGGAAATACAATAGACCTTGAGAAAGGCAGTAGAAGGATGGCTGAATGCCAGAGCAAAAGATACCCTCATCTTTACCCGAGATGCCACATCCTTGCAGCCAAGGCACAATCTAGACTTAAAACTCTTCTTTTAAGCTCCCAGCTTGTCTCTCAGGAGACAACATTAGCGGAGGGCACGGCAACCGCCTCCTGGCCAGGAGGTTCTACACCGCAGCTGCCTCAGGGGACGCGGGGCAGGGGCCGGCCGAGGCGCCGGGCGGGCGGCACAAGGGCGGCGCGGTCCCCGAGCCTGGGGCCGGCACACGGCAAGGGCCCTGCGGCAGCCCCACCCCAGCCCCGAGCGGGTTGAGGGCCCCGCCCGGGCCCGAGCAGCGCTCACCAGCCTGCCCGCCACCAGGCAGCCGAACATGGCGGCGGCCGGGGAACCCCTCAGATGCCTCCTCGCCGCTCCCGAGAGTCCATGAACGTCGGACCCGGGAAGTCAACACGCCCCCGCTCGCCCGGCGCTGCCGAGTCACTTCCGCGGCGCCGCCGCCACAGACTACAACTCCCACGGGGCAACGCGTGACATCACACTGGCGGTGCTGGGCGGGGTGGAGCGGGGCGCGACGGGAGATGTAGTTCGCGTCACGGCAGTAATGAACGTGATGGTCGGGAAAAGGCGACATCACTTCACACAGCTCCGGGTGCCACCGGCCCCTCCGCTGCCTCCGGGCTAGATAAAGCGTGGCAGGGTTTTCTCTGAGGAAAGAGGGTGCTTGGTACTCGGCAATTAAAGTCGGCCTTGCTATGTGGCTGGATCCACAGTGTTCAAATCCAGATAAACCTGGCCAAAGCAGTTGTTATAAGTAAAATGAAACTGAGCTGAAATATAGTAATAAAATTTATTAAAGATTTATATAAAATGCAAATAAGCAAAATAGCATGGTGGGCGGCCGGGGAGACCCCTGCTCCACTCACAGCCTGCAAGCGCAGTAGGCAAAACCAGTAATTTTTATTCTCTTATTAGTTTCCCTCCCATTGTTACTTCTTGTCTCCTTATTGGATCCGAGCTTGCAGATTTGGTTCTGGTTGGCTTCTCCTGCCTTGCTCGTCTTAGTTGCCAGGTGCTTTCCTCCATAGTTCCAATCAGTCCTTAGACCTTGAGGCCCAGTATGCAGGCATCTCCAGATGTCCATCTTGGATACTCTGTATCGTCTCGGTTTCTGACCCTTCGATCCTTGTCCTTCCTTTTGTTACTTTATGCCTGTTGTGAGACAATAAGCTTTTTAGAAAAATGAGATACAAAAATATTTACTTAACAAGGCACAATAGTTTGTCTTTCTAGCTTAAGAACTGCAAACTACATGCTTATCAGCTTACAATGCTGACAGATTAATGAACCATTCTACAACTTACAGTCTCTTACCCGTAACAGAACAGTGATTATAATAACATATACATAAGAATATAACATGCACTACAATTTAATGAGTAAACTATTGTTACTAATTTGATGAGTAAATTAAACCATTACTACTCATTACAAAATCAAGGAACAAGTAAAATCTGCATTCTAAAATAGAGAGGAAAAAAAATGGAAAAGTTAATCAGAAAAGCTACGTGATTAGGCACGGTGACATACACTAGGTACACTGAGAGATGACTGCTGTAACTGTGTATGACTCGGTATTGTCAAGAGGCTCAAATTCTATCACAGATACAGTTCACGTTCTGGAGGCTTACACTGAAGAAATGCGCACGTCGTGTGTATTTGCTGTGTAACATGATCCTCAGAGCCATTTCTGTGCTGAGAGGGCTGGGGTTCTTCAGTCTGGACAAGAAAAGGCTCTGAGGAGACCTTTTAGCAGCCTTGCAGTACCTAAAGAGGCTACGTGAGAGCTGGAGAGAGAGTTTTGACAAAGGCATGTAGTGACAGGACAAGGGAGAATGGCTTTAAACTGACAGAGAGCAGATTTAGATTAGATATTAGGAAGAAAATCTTTTCTTTTATGTCCAGAGAGGCTGTGTCTGGCCCATCCCTGGAAGTGCTCCAGGCCAGGTTGGATGAGGCTTTGAGAAATCTGGTTTAATGCAAGGTGGTTCTAGTAGAACCCCTTAACGACAGAGGGGTTGGACTAGATGATCTTTAAAAGTCAACCAAAACAATTCTATGATTCAATGATTTTGGAGTACCTTCTTTCAGACTGCACTTGGTGCTCAGAGCACAACTTTCCTTGACTTCAAACTTATGTTTGTGAGTACAGTGAGTTTGTGAGTACAATGAGTCTGTGTTTCCTCACCCCAGGGGCTTTGGGCAGGTAAAAATAGGAGTGTTCTCAACAAAGGTATCAAAGAGTCTTTCCCTCTTCTATTTTAGCTAGGTTTCATTACGATAGATCTGTGTTAATGCAGTCTAGATATGGCATGAAATCAAGCAGACAAATACAGATAAAATGATTACAGTCAGCTGATGGCTACAGGCTTCTCTGTCAGTATCAGGTGTTGCATTCTGCCTTTTCAGATTGCACAGGTTGTCTTTCGTCTCTGAGCATGGAAAGCAGGTTTAGTACCAGCTTAGGCAACAGTCTCAGCTCCTTATTTAGCTCTGAGGTGATTTAGCTGCGAATGTTACCTTACTGTTGGCTTGGACACGAGTGGCCACTGAAAATTCATCCAAGGCAGAGCCAAGAATGGACGAATTCATCAGCATGAACTGCTGTGGTATTTCTCCACCTTTCTCCTACACCCCAAAGCTTAACATCTTTGTTTTAAATTCCTTAGTGTTCTGGGGAGGCTACACCTACAGCATAAGTGCAAAAGGCTGTAGGTATTTCAGGTTATACAAATGAGATATGCACAAGACTGAAGAGAAGAATATGATATGAGATACTAGATATAACCCTGGATCCTGCACGTCATCTCTTATATTTTCCTCTGTAATGGATTTCCTCTGTAAAGTTCATTCTTTGAATTTGCAATACTGTACTAGTATGATCAATAATATGCCTTGTTGCTATTGGTCACTGCTGGCTGGCAATGAACTTTTTGTATAGGAAAATATTATCTAGAATTTCTGTGATTATTATGTTTAAATAAAAAACAAATTTCAAATATTCAATTGTTATCTATCTTCTCTTGACAGGAAATAAAATACTGAGTAAGCAGAGTATAAGCTTGGGAGGGATGAGAAATGACATCTCAGGACACACGGACTGGGTTTCAATCTCTGTTTACAGGGCAATTCTCTTGCAAGTTAGTGCAATAATTTTTGAACTGCACCCATGCTCTTTTGGCAGAGGGAAGCTCCTGTGTTTCATTGCTTGTGGTCTCCTGGGTGTAAGAGCACAGGCTGTCTGAGTTGGAAATAAATAATTTCTCAGTTTGACTGGGAAGAATGTTCTTCACTTCTACAGAAGCTGTTCATTCAGATCTTGGTCTACTGTCTCTTCTGGTGTTTACACAAGTATTTTAATTAATTCTTCAATCTTAATCATACCTGTTTTAATATTTCTGTTACAAATCTCTATGAAACCTCTCCCTTTTTGCTGTGCCAGTGTGCTGCTCTGGGCTCTGAAACCTGTGATTAGACCCATCTCTGTAGGAAATGTCAGGGTCATTCCTGCAGCCAAGCTCACCTTTGGTGGACAGCTTCTCCTGTCCTCAGCCATCCCAGGCCCTGGGCACTGCACCTGTGGCTTATGGCAGAGGTTTATCACTGGGGAAGCTCCCAGAGTTGCTTTTGTTGCCCACTTTGCAGTAGTAAAAAGTTTTAGCAAAGGGTGGCTCTGGCTTTCCAAATGCTAAAAACTTAGAAAATACAAAATTAAGACCCCAGTGCCTGCTACCAGATGGAGTAACCAAACTGTGCCTTGCAGTGTGTTTATGTGAGGGAATTATGAGAGTAAGACCTATTAAAAATCCTGATGCTAGCCCACGGTTATTTGTACAGGCGTAATGGAATATTTATTTCTGTCTGATTCACCTCTTGAATCCAGTAAGAAGCCCAGGTGTGAGAAGTGTTGAGGCAGTAGTGCAGAACGGCTGAGTCCCAGGCCTCATTGGTGATGTGAACCTTTGCAAGTGAGTTCTCCTCTTGGCAGGTGCTTTTCCAGCTGGCCCCGATGAACTGGAAAGAAAGAAAGTGTTTTTAAGCTTGAGATGTTGCAAATTAGTGGAGAGTGGCCAAGCTCTGCGGTGCAACCACTGAGGCACAACGAGAAATCTGCTAATTAGGCAAGAGCTCAACTCACACTTGCCAGCTTGCTACAGACTTCTGAGATTACACCATGTCTAAGATCTCTGCTCAGGGCAACCCCATCTTGCAGGCCTGATCTCAGCAGGGCTCTCAAGCCCTCTTGCTTAGGCGTGATTTCTTTTTTTTTAAAATTTAAACCTAATTATTTAGTATTTACCTAAAACTTGTTGAGCCTGCTGTGCAATGATGGCAGCAGAGCCCTTACTGCTCCCCCTGCCAAAAACTAATCTCAGCCTGTCTATGATCTTGCCCTAGAAGTTGCTTGTGACACTGATCTCCACTTGAGCCCCTACTAAGATCTGTGGCTTAATGCCATTTAGGTAAAAAAAGGTCATACAGAGCAGGCATGTTCCCTGTGTGCAGTAAGGGAAAGTGTTTCCCATTCAATAGTAACAGGTAGTGGCACAACACAGAAAACAATTAAGTGTAGAGAACCACTGAGAAGAAGGTTTCTGTTCCTGCGTGAGGCAAGAGTATGAGTAAAAGGAAGAAACTTCAGGCGTGTTGAGTCCACATCAACACAAAACTTCACTCATACATTGGTGGGTGAGGTGCCAAAATATGTACTGGGATCCTGTGTGAATGCGAAACCCAGCAGCATCTACATGTGTCTGAACAAGGTGTAGCAAAGTGTGGATGCTGAATGAGAAAGAACTCTGGAAAGTAACTTTTCTCCTGAATAAATAATAATTTTCTTGTACTTTGAGGCAGGCTTTTTTCAAACTAGTCACAGTTGTAAAAGGAGCAATAGCTTGTCAAAGATTAATGTGGTAGGCTTTTTTTTTTTTTTTTTTTTTTTAATTCTCCTTTCCTTTTTTTATGAACACCTTTTCCTCTTGTTTTGTGCATATTTCTGGTGTCTGCCTAGTCTCCATGCCATTAAGGATTTCATGAACCTGTGTCATTTGCATGTTTTCCAACTTGAGGAGTTCTAGCCTATGTAGTCATGTATTGTGCAGAAGTTATTCCATATTCTTTGATCATTCTTGTAATTTCTTGGTCCATTTCCCCCAGATT